AGAGAGAGAGAGAGAGAGAGAGAGAGAGAGAGAGAGAGAGAGAGAGAAAATGAATACACAATAAATGCCTGAGGCTATAAGGGAGAGGGAAAAGGGGAAGGGAAGAGGAAGGGAAGAGGGAGAGAGGGAGAGGGAAAGGGAGAAAGAGAATAAATGCCTGGGGTTATAAAGAGGTACATGCAGAGTGAAGAGAGATCACACACACACACACACACACACACACACACACACACACACACACACAGAGAGAGAGAGAGAGAAAGAGAGAGAGAGAGAAACAGAGATACAGAGATACAGAGACAGACAGACATACAGAGAGAAAAAGAGATATAGAGACAGACAGACAGACACAGAGAGAGAGAGAGAGAGAGAGAGAGAGAGAGAGAGAGAGAGAGAGAGAGAGAGAGAGAGCGATATCTCAACCAGGTCATGGGGCTGAAAAGGCTTCTCATCCTTAGGACAGGGGCCTGTGCAGCAGACTTCCAGCAGGGAATAGTTGGATGCTCAGCCTCCCAGAAACCCCTACAACTTCAGCACAGGACCAGGAGGGAAAATGGCCATACAAAGCTTCTTCCAAAGCCCATGTGGGCAATAATGACAACCTAAGTTGAAGAGCTGTGATTAGAGGGCAGGGAAGGCCACCTGGAGCAAGATCTCGAACCCGGGGTGGAGACTCCAGGCTAGCATCTGGGTTTCTGGCTTTTATGGGTAGGATGGGCAGGCTGGGAGAGTAGAGAGGCTGACGGCTGGATACCCAGGGCTGCTGAGAACGTGGACTTGGAGCTGGGCTGAAGGGTGGGACCAGAGAGTAGGCTTCAGACCTTTGGCATCTAGGTGGCAGGTGACTCATTGGGAATGACAAGAGCTACAGAGGAGGGTGTGGTGCAGACATGGAATGAAGCAGAGTGTCTGAGCCCTGGGGTCCAAACGCTATAGTATGCTTTTTGTGACTGCAAAAGTTATTACACAATCTAGGCATGTCCATGTCAGGTGCTCACAGAGGCCCTGGGGATGGGATGATTTGAGCTCTACATTCTGAGCCCAGAGAGGTGACATCACAGATTGAGGTCACACAGTGAGTGGAATTGGTGCCCATAAATAAGACTCAGTCTATAACAGTTCCCTCAAGGAGGGAGGGGGCTGACCTTGTGAGTCTGTGAGGTGCTTCAGAACTTTTGTCTTCTGCTCAGGAAGGTGTGCGTATGCAGCAGGTTAGCTCGGATTCCTGAGCCTTGCAGTGGGATCCTGGAACACATGGTGGCCCTAGGAAGGGCAGACTTCCCAGAGAGGACAGAGCTGGCCATGTCTGGTCTTTGCACTTGAATTGCATGTTCCCAGGATAAGAGGAGGTTCCTCGTGTAACAATCATCCAGAGAAGGCTCCTTTATAACCAGAAAGGGGTGGGGCCTTGAGAAAAGACCACCTGTCTTGGGGGAAAAGCGCTACAAACAGCCACTCATTTAAAGATGGGCTCTGAGTGCCCTCAAAGCGTATATTCTCTTCTCAAGGGTCACACAAAGGCCAGGATCCTGAATGACAGAGGGCACAGGATCTGGGATGCAGATGTGATTTTTCCTCTGTCACACAAATGCATGACTGCAATTCTTATATCCTTGTTCCTCTGGTTTGTGTGTGTGTGTGAGAGAGAGAGTGTGTGAGTGTGTGTGCACGTGTGTGAGTGTATGTGTGTGTGTGTGAGAGTGTGTGAGTGTGCATGTGTGTGAGTGTATGTATGTGTGCATGTGTACATGTGTGAGTGTATGTGTGTGTGTGCACATGTGTGAATGTATGTGTGAGTGTGTGTGAGTGTGTATGAATGTATGTGTGTGAGAGTGTGTGTGCATGTGTGTGCACGTGTACATCATTGATCAAGTCCACAGCTTGCTCAGGTGAGGCAAGTCCTGTACCAGTGAACTCCATCCCCAGCCCTTCTTCATGCATATAGTTCTTCTCATGCCCAAACCAGACAGGTACAGTTTTCATCCCCATATTCCAGATGGAGAAACTGTGGCTCAGTCACATAGCTCATGTACACTTGAGCCCACTCTACTTTCTCTGTAAACCACTAGCACAGAGGAGCAGGTTGTGTGTTCCTTCCCTGAGAGGCCTGTCTGATGGCAGACAGGGACAACAGATGACAACCCATGGTTCACTAAGCCCCTCAGAAACATACAGAGGAACAGCCAAGAAAGGGACAGATCACACCGATGGGACAGGCTTTGGCTTGTCTTGGAAAGGGTGAGGGCATCTTGTGGAGATGACCTGTGAGTTGGAGTCTGACAGATCAAAGGGAGGGAGCTTCCGAGAGGAGAAATGATCCCTGTAAAACCCCAAACTTAGTGGCCCCATTATGGAAAAGTTCCTCTAGGAGAAGAGTCCACAGGACTTTCTATAAAGCTATTTGGAGTCTGTGTCCTAGGCTATCTCTGAGAGGACTTTAGTAATGTTGGCAAGTTCCAGGTTAGACAGCCTTCCATCTTGCCATGCAGCATATAGACCTGCTGGGAAGGCCAAGCCAGGAGCAATTAGGTCAGTCAGAGTTCCCATCAAGTGCATGGCCCCTTGCTTAGTCCCTGACCTTCCTGGGTAGCCAAAGGCCTGATGTCCTTGTCCTTTAGAAGAGCAGGTCCCCATCCTAGGAGGATTGGGCTCACAGGAGCCACAGAGATGCTATTGAGTTCTGCTCCTCATATCCCAGGGTGGCAGATTGTAGCAGTCAGCTGTGGTATTTGGAGCCTGGCCACCAGGACTCAGAGCTGGGTAACCTCTAAAGAGATGTGGTCCTCTGAGCTTGATATCGGGACTCACAGCTCCCCCACACCTCCACCAGACTTATCTCTAGGGCACTTGGAAGGGTAGGCCAAGGCCGTGTGTTAACGGTAGCCACAGCACTTTCAGCAGCTGCTTGATCACCTGACTCAACCCATGGGCAATTATTGCAAGAAGATTATATCGTCCCCCTGTCTCCACACATACCAGGGAGAGGATGGTGGGAATACATACAGTTCAGGGCAGATGTGCAGCTCCCACAGCACTAAATATCAGGCTTCCTTCACCCTCTTGCAGAGATCTTGTTCTAGAAGCTTCCCATTTATCTCCTTCCGTCTCCCAAATGGTCTTAGCAAGAGATGAGCTCACTGGGTGACCAATGTCCAATGGCTCTATTCCTAAGTGGGGGGGGTAGTTTAAGAAGGACCAGGGAGAGTGGCTGCTCACTGAGACCTCAGCATCTGTCTCAACCCCTCATGGAACTCACAAGCTCCAAGAGGCCTCTTTGCAGCCATGGGTCTGATTGTGTGTGACTGGAGACAGGCAGGATGGATGTCTTAGTCAGGGTTTCTATTCCTGCACAAATATCATGACCAAGAAGCAAATTGGGGAGGAAAGGGTTTATTCAGCTTACACTTCCACATTGCTGTTCATCACCAAAGGCAGTCAGGACTGGAACTCAAACAAGTCAGGAAGCAGGAGCTGACGCAGAGGCCATGGAGGGATGTTCCTTACTGGCTTGCTCCCCCTGGCTTGCTCAGCTTTCTTTCTTATAGAACCCAACTCTACAAGCCCAGGAATGGTACTACCCACAATGGGCCCTCTCCCCTTGATCACTAATTGAGAAAATGCCTTACAGCTGGCTCTCATGGAGGCATTTCCTCAAGGGAGGCTCCTTTCTCTGTGATAACTCCAGCTTCTGTCAAGTTGACACACAAAACCAGCCAGTACAGTGGGTAATGTAGGTAACAGGTGGACAAGCTTAGGAACCACAGCATAGCAAAGACCAAGTGATTGATAACCTCTGTTAGTTCTCACAAGGGCCCATGAGTGGCTCCCATGACTGTTCCTGCCCTCAGGATGGCCAGGGCAGGCAGGGCAGTGATCAATTCCTCTGTCAGTTACCTCTTCTGTTGCTGAGAGGAAATGCCAGATGAGAGCTGCTTAGGGAAGGAAGAACTGGTTTTGGATCACAGGTAGTCTCTCCTGGTGGGACAGTTGTGTCAGCAGGAGCATGAGGCAGAAGACAACACAGCATCCAATCAGGAAGCAGGGAGTAATGAGAGCTGTTACTCAGCTCACTTCCTCTGTCCAGTGAGGGAGCCCAGCTTAGAGAATTTACAGTGGCTCTTCCCTTTAACCCAGGCTAGGAAATCACTCAGGCATGCTCAGAAGCTTGTTTCCATGGC